CTAAATTTATGATATTTTGGAAAAAAATTCATAACGAAAAATCTAGACGTGATAAAAAAAATTGGTCATTGGGAACAGATTCAGCGCATCAAAATCTTTATATTTAAGACAAAATTTTTTGAAGGAGAATTTTGTTGCAGACCAGTGTAATCCGAAAATTTCCATTTCGACAAATTGTCAGGAGATCGCTTGTACGCTGTACTGCACATACGTATTGTATATGCGTTTGAGCTTGTTTGTTTTGATTTCTAATTCCTTTCTGCAGTTTTATATGGACAACGTAAAAGTTTGTAACAATGCTAAACCAATACACCGCATTTTTCTGGCGTTTAAAGTTAATGCCATTTTTTTAAAATACTTCTATAATATACAATCTAAAGATGTTTCTTTTTAAATAGAAACGTCTATTTGTATTCGGATAGTTTCTGTTTCTGCCTAAAAATACCAAATGCAAACAGTAATAGCATAGCTTTCATCAATGGCGGACTTAGCATGCAGTTGGGGGAAGGGGGGTTGTACTAAAACATTGGAATGTTGAAAAGAAAGGAATTATGCACAGCTTTTGATATACAGACTTGAAATTTTACACAAACGTTCCTTGTATGTATAACGTCGGCGAGCACTAAGAAAGGATTTCTTAAAATTCACTACCATAATGGGTGAAAACATAGCTCAAAATTTGATCTATCGATCAAGAAACAGCACGCAGTCAGAAAACTTAAATTTTGTACAAATGCTCCTTATACAACGAACGATTTTTAAAATCCTACCCCAAAAAGATGATAAACAGCAGCTTGCGACATGAACGAATTCCACGTGGACGAAGTCATAAACAACAGCTAGTAATTTATCGTCAAATGGTTTCATTATGGGAAATCGTTTAAGCCGTCGTATTGCTGAAATATTTATGGTTTATATTAAAAGAAAAATATTTGGTATTAACTTAAGTAAAAACTTCGTATACTGTTATGTAAATACATACATATGTTGACAATGTTTTACTTTTTTTTTTACTAGGAGGAACTGAAAACTTAAACCATTTGTCCAATTCTTTGACAACATAAATCGAAATATTAAATTTAATGATAGAAAAAAGAAACAAACATTTTCTCTAAACTCACAAACTCTTACATACTCAATCTGCACGTCCGATTCATTCCACGTAAATTAGTCACCATAAAAATTATATAAAATTGGACAATCTTTTTAAAAGACAAATGCCTTGTAATATTATTTATCGTATTATCAGTCGTGTTAGGCACATGTGCTATTTTGAAAATGCTAAATTAATGGAAAACTGAGATGGATGAAAACGAAATTACACTAATAACGATTAAAGAACTAGATGACCTTTTAAGCTTTTGTTTAATGAAAAAAACGGTAAAATGTACAAGTCGACTTACCGATACAAATATTCATCACCATTGGTGGTATACACAACTCACACTTACATACCAAGCACACTTAGATAGATACAACGACTGGTGCCAATGTGCGTTAAAATCATTTCTATGCAAATTTACTTATGTTGATAAGGAACCGACGAGCATATTTATTTGCGCAAATGGTTTGGCAATTGCTTGTTAAAAATATATGACAGCCCTTGACCATTACTAGCATATAAAATACGGACAAATGTGTACTTGTTTATTATGCAACATATGTGAAAATTCTAAATTTTCACTAACTTCTTTCAAATCACATACTATATAAAATTTGGTGTTCATAATTTACAGTATATATATATATATATTCTATTGAAGCCTTATTTTACATGAACGAGGATCTTACAAAAGTGCAATGGTAAACTATTTGTAAGCTCAATATAAGAATAAAGGCTTTCATAGCCGGAATCCATAGTAGAATGAAGATTCGGGCTACAGGGCCGTGATCTAAGTGAACTATTCTGTCCAGACGTTTCGTCAGCTACTGCATCATAACATCCTCAGTGGTAGTGCTGCGTTGACAACGTGAACGTAGATTATATCTCGAAGTCTCGACAGCGACTGAACGTCTGGACAGAGTAGTTCACTTAGACCACGGCCCTATAGCCCCGAATCTTCAACCAAAACGCATTTCGGTACCCGAGATACCGCGTTGGTTTGCATGGATTTATATCTCGCCGATGAATTTCGTTAATTTTCACCTAATGAAGGTACAAAAGGTACAAGAATTGTACAATCTTAAACACATAAGTTATAGCAACATTCGCCAATGGAAAGAAATCTTGAAGATAAATAGGAGATAGATATATAAAATTACAAAATTTTCTATCGCCTTATAGTAAATGATCAAATAAGTGAAAACATTCACCAATAGTGTCTTGTTTTATCTTTTGTTATTTCTGAAAGTCCCATTCTACGTAACTCAGGCACAATGCAGGGCAAACTATGAAATTTCTTGATAACGATTTTCAATTTTTACAAGAGCATAAACAGAATACGGGACCACCTGCGAGGCCTCATGGGCCGGGGACCAATGCAAACTGCATCACTTGCATCACCTTATTAGATTTGCTTGTCGTTGGCAACTAAATTTCAAAATTGGTTGTAAGAGAACCGAAATTTTAAATAATTTTCTACGATTTCGCAAAAATACACAGACAAACGCTTTTTTCGCTTGTATATTACATGTTAGAAACTGCGATGAACGACTTTTTACGTGTTTAAATTTAAAAATTATTAAAACGGAGCTGAAATTGTTTTATTATTATTTATAGGGGTCCTATTCTATAAAATTCTTCATGAAATACGTTACTGGAATGCAGAACCACTTATGGGACCCCATGAATCGGGGGCTCGACGCAAAGTGTATTGTTTGCGTCACCTTAGATGAGTACTAATCGTTTTATAGTTATATAAGAGACGATGAACAGTAATCCCACTCTGGAATTGTAAGATTAAGCTGATAAACGAGTACAGTATTAAATGACGATAAAATACCACTAAAGATGATATCATCCAAAAATAAACTGAATCTATACTAAAATTTAATCTCCCTATATTAAACACTGCTAAGAGTCAAATTCTCAAATTACGTAAAATTCAGTTGAGATAAAAACAAACACAATGAACACTGCATCGGGACTGCGGCACTCCGTTCGAAATATAGTATTACAGGCAAATGATGAGGATACCGTAGATAGAAAAGGATAGATGGATAGAATGAACAGAGGACTCAATGGAAGTCAAAAAGAAATGGGCGGGATAAGTTGGTAAGACAACTACTCAGGCATGAAGGTCTAGTCAGAGACATATTAGAGCCAGAAACAGGAGTTAAGAGGAGTAGAGGAATACCTAGATTAGATTACTGTTCGCAAATAGTTTAGGAGGTGGAGTGTTGCAGTTTTAGGGAAATGCGAAGATTAGCTTAGGATAGGAAAGAGTGGAGGTGCATGTCCAACCAGTCTTAGTACAAAAAACCTTCACAACCAATTTAAATTAACTACTAATAGACTTGCTGTGCTGTGGATTGTTGAGCTAGATGAAGAAAAAAGAAACAGCCAAAGCATCTTATTCTTTAAAAGACTACCTTATCAATAACATTGATTTGTAATTACAATTAAGTGAGACATGTTTCCCCAAGGTGGCTGCCCAATACCTTCACGCACAAGTAAAAATTTTTAAAACTTTTAAGTGCTTCGTTCACATCAGCTTCTAAGGTTGGTGGAAAGTGAAAGATTATCTGTGAAATATGATTATAACTGCGTCAGAAGTGAATTAAGTAACCCAAGAAAATCTTAGAAAGACAAACTAGGATAGACTTCAAATTAAATCGGTGCTAAGTAATGACCTTTAATCTTTAGGATCTGTGCTTGCTCAGAGCACATAGGTTCATAATATTAAGAACTTTTCGCCCTTCACATACCCCTGTCAACCAGTATAGGGGACCGACCCAGCCATCTAAGGCGCCCTTTAGACTCTCCAAAGGTCAACATACCTGTTGCCAAGCAATGTACTCACCGCCTCTAATCATAGTCGAACCAGAAACCATTCTCAGTTGTCAATTTTATTATTATGATTAAACTAATGGAAAAAAATTTATTGACTTTTATTCCATTATATAACATACTAGAAACCAATAAAGAATTTCCACATAAACAACAATAATGAAATGGTAACTACCTCATCCCAACACGATAAGATAAGCTACTTGGACTCTCCAAAGGTCAAAGCAAAGCATCATTCAACACTAAATATAACATGAAATAACAAACAATTCGTTTGACTTTTAATTCTTCCAGTTGCCGATTTCCCGGAACAGACTTTTTTTGTTCAGAGTATCCCACAATAATAAATTCAGTGACGTGACGTCACGTCTGGGGAAACGGTATATTACGCTCTAGATCAGAAGAGGTCAAAGCAAATGATTTGGCAGGCCACTTCAGATATAAATCATGACTCCGTAAGCTGCATATAAAATTATATATAACCTTATTACACTTAGAGCCGCTGTAGACATTTTTTTTGAAGACATAAGTATACACTCATTAATAACACATGCAATATTTGTCATATATTTACAAAAATATTGTTTTAAGATTAAAGTTAATTTTTTCTCATAATTTCGACAGTTAATTTTTGAGTTATGGATGCAGAAATAATATATCTTTTATGAAAAATAAAATTAAGTGCGCGAACTCAATCTGAATGTTGACTGTGGCATACTGTGAAGATACCTTGAACCGAAGCAACATTTATCGGTGGTACAAAATGTTCTCAGAGGGCCGAGGACGTGAACGACGAAGAGAGTGCTAGATGTCCGACCATGTCAAGAACAGACAAAAACATCGATGAAGTGAAGAAAACAGTATTAGCCAATCGCCGAATCGCCGTTAGAGAAGTTGCTGAGGACCTAAATATACCGGTTGACTCCTGCCATTCGATTTTTACCAACGATTTGAGCATGAGACGGCTTGCCGCAAAATTCGTACCAAAATTACTCAATTTCGACTAAAAACAGCATCGCATTAACATTGCTAAGAAGCTATTGAACTCTGTCTGCGATGACCCAAATTCGCTCTAGAAGATCATAACTGGTGACGAATCATGGATCTGTGATTATGACGTGATAAACCAAAACTCAATTGTCCGAATGGAAACTGCCGCACGAGACAAGACCGAAAAAAGCGCGCCAAGTTAGACGGAATGTGACGGTTTTCTTTGATTGCTGGGCCGTGATGCATCATGAGTTCTTGCCACAGGATAGAACAGTCAATAAGGAATATTACTTCCAAGTCATGCACAATTTGCATGGAGTAGTCCACCAAAAACGCCCGTATTTGTGGAAGAATAAAAATTGGCTATTGCACCATTATATTTCCCCTACTCACACATCACAAATAATGCCGCAGCCATCGTATTTCCCAGATCTGACTGACTGACTTTTTCTTGTTCCCGAAACTGAAGAGGCCCATGAAGGACGACGCTACTCTACGATTGAGGAGATAAAGACGGCTTGAAAGGAGGAACTGAATAGGATCACAGAAAATGTTTATTTGAAGTGCTTCGAGAATTGGAAAAAGCGTTCGCACAAGTGTATAATATCTGGTGGGAATTATTGTGAAAGGGACAAAATAGATATTAATGAATAAATAATCAAAAAAAAAAACACAAAATTCGCGATATTTTTATTTATTGATGCCAATCTCGTAAATGTTCTTGATCACCAAACAGCGATTTTGATGAGAAGGTTTTCATATTATTATTATTA